GATCAGATAGTAGAGAAATTTGCTAATTTGTGCATTGAACTCTTAGAAATAAATAAACATTTGAGGTGCAAAAAAAACAAAATTGATCAGAAAGAGGCGAAAAACAAAAGGGTTATTTGGTTGTATAACTATATAAAAAAAAAATCATAATCTATAATCTAACCAAAAATTCTTTATGTGGCTAAATCCTATCTACTAAATTTAAGGTTTTTGGTTAAATTACAGATTACAATTTTTTTTTGTTATCAACCAAATTAACCCAAAACAAAAGATGAACAAATAAAAAAAATGTTTATAGGGTGATGTGAGTTTTAGTAGGACCTAGTTTTGTTGGTAAAAACTACTACATACATCAATTCACAAATCAACGTTACGCACTAATCACTTTTAATTTCCTTATATTTTCTATACGAGGAAAAAAATATACAAAATTACAAAGAAATGGACAACAACTTGGCGTCCTAGCCATTGTTTAGAGAATCTTTGAGCGTGGTTCTTGCCTGGCAAAGAGGTAGTAGCCCGACCACTATTGTTACCATCATTGGATCCGGCGGTCGGAGACATGCTGGTGGGCGCCGCGGCCGAGCCAGTAGGAGGAGAGGCTAGGCCAGTTTTGTTTGAACCGTTTGCTAGCTGATAGAACACTTGCGCTTCTGGAGATTTTGGGTCCAAGTGAAGCAAAGCTGAAACAATACCCATATTCCAACAAAATTATGAGTTTACTAATTTGATTCTATAATCAATTTTTCAAAACTTTCTTATTAATTTTAGATGTATATATCCAAAAATGCAAACATCAAAACTTCCCATGATTTCAAGTTTTACACTATAACCAATCTCCATGGTAGATTATATATCCTAAACACTTAATTAGGTTTAGTTAGCACAAATTTTCTAAATATCCAACGAAATATTGTAGCATTCCAAGTCCGACTAAGCAAAAGTTCTAGAAAAAGAGTTTTTCACTAATCAAACCACAAATAATCATGTTATGAAATTGTAAAGAGGTGTTTAAGGTACGAACCAGGGCACTTAGTGACGTCAGCAGTGGCGTGACAAACAGAAGGAAGAGCAAGAGCGAGAGAGACATTGATCTGAAGACCCAAATCAGGATCATTCCGGTCTTGTATGATCACACAAAGACACTTCTTGTCGGAAGTAAGAACTTGTTTGAGACCGGAGCAACAATCCGGCGTCGGAGACTTAGCCTGTCCTTGCACGTAAGGAAGACACGTGGCCATACCCACGAGCTGTTCCGTACATTCTTCCTTGTCTTTTGCTTTATCTTCTCCGGAAGCCACCATCGTCGCCGTTATTAAAGCTGTTGCGAGCAGCACTAGACTAATCCTCCACCAAGACTCCATTTTTGTTTTTTTTTAGTGTTCACAATTTAAATAATTCTCAATGATGTTGATGCACTCGTTACAATTTATATAGCATTATTAAGG